GCACCGTGTCACACTGCTTGAAACACCCAAAAGTGGCAGGAAGAAAATGGTATCCAGAAGTTGCCCTGGTCGAGCCAATCTCCTGACATTAACCCCATCGAAAACTTCTGGTGTTTCTCGACCAGCAAGTCAAGAAACAACCAGAAAAACCAACTTCGAAGAGTGTTCTACCCCAAGTTTTGAAGCAAGAGTGGGTGAAAATCCCACAATCTAAAATTGATGAGATGATTCTCACGATGCCCCAAAGGATCAACGAACTCCACGAAGTGAAAGGAAGATCTACTAGATATTAATTGAATTATAAATAAATCAATTCATGTGAATATGGTGGTATCTATTGACTTGTGACCACGCTGTGTATATTTACATCCACCTTTTGTTAACATTTGTTGAAATGAGTTGTGTGTACATGCACATTTAGATAATAAGTGTTATCCAAGTACCCTGTTCATACATTTACTTCAAACACAGATAGTTTCAGTTCCAGCTCAGGCATGACTACCATGTCAGACTGTGGACCAATGGATGCTTTATAATGGAGACAGACAAATCCAACTATTTGTTAGTCAAGAGTTGGCAGTATCTGTTATTTACTATTTGCATTTTCTGTACTCTATCAATTCAAAATTGGGGCTGTTTAGTGCAAATAGCCTTATGTAGCTTTGTACAAATGTCTGAAACAAACAAGTTTCATCTTCTGAGATTTTCAGTCCTTTGTATTTCACATTATGTAACTCATGAAAGTTAAACACTAACAAACGTATCACACCATATAACTCATCAAGTTTAAACATTCACTCTTTCAGCATGGGCTGAGATTGGTTATTCATGTCATATATAGAAGTAAGTGTATATAAGGGAGTGTTTCCAAAAATAGAAAGAGGTGGGCAGGGTACCACTGTGTTTGATTTATTACTTGAGCAATATTCTAGCAAATTGAAAAGATAAAAGGCTCTTATTTTATATTGTAGCCTGTCAATATCAATAATTTGAGATCTTAATTCATACGAAACTATAGTCTTAGTATTTTGACTTCAAAAACATCTAATTTGAACCAGTGCTGCATTCAACATACCACGTGACACACCAAAATTGATGTTTAATTGTTGTTTTTTTTTAATATTTACTTTTAAAGTAA